TAGCACAAATCGGAGGTAGAAGCTCTGGTTAAGTACAACGACTGCTTTATCGATCACCTTTCTTGCCCACACATGGGCGCATTTGCCTTAGGGCCGGTTGCTCAAAGCCTGGTTGACACTATTCCCCTGTTAAACATTGTTATCGACGTTACCGACACCGTGTTGTATGTATGTATTGTAATTCTAAGAAGAAATGCGGGGTTGACGGCTGTCAAATGGGTCACAACCCACTTTTGCATACCAAACGCAAAACCGGTGTTTACAGTCATTCGAAAACAGCCAAAAAATTAGACGTCACAAATGAGACGCCTCATCAGTTCTATGTCACCTAAAGGATGGTAAACAACGCACACTCTTTCGTTATATACCTGTGACGTTGTTCGGCAAATGCGGGGTGGTGAAAACGTAAGCCTTCACTCATGGGCGTAGCCTGAATGCCAGCTTAATAGGGTCGAGCCCCCCCCTAAATTTCATTCTGGCTACGCCGATGCCTACACTGATGGAGGGTGGGTCGGCGTGCACACTGATTAAGCGTAGTTTAGCAAACGAGTTGGGTTTGGATGGTCCTTAGAAAGAGCTTTGTCTACAATGCACTGGTAATATAACCCAAAATGAAACAAAATCGAAAGCAATCAGAAGGCAAATATCTTCTCAGAATAGAGGGGCTTGGTACATTCCAATTTTTACGCAGCTGTTAATAACGCATCCCGGAGTCCCTTGTGGGTATCCTAATCCGCTTCCGAGAGAAACCAATTGCCTTATGTGGCGATATTCGTGAGATGTATCACCAGGTACTAGTAAATGAAGAAGATCAAGCTGCACAGATATTTTTATGGCGTGAAGGGGACACAACAAGAGATCCCGACATCTACATAATGTAGGTGATGACATTTGGGGCGTATTGTTCGTCTTCGTCAGCCAACTACGTAAAAAAACAAAAAGCTGAGCGATTCCAGAGACAACACCCTACTGCGGTAGATGCTATCATCATCAAGAATACCTTTGTAAATGATTGGCTTCATAGTGCGCAAACTGAAGAATAAATGATATGCCTTGCTTCGATCGTACATATGATATACGCCGAGGGTGGATTCGAAATGAGAAGTTGGAAATCGAACTCTGCAAATGTGTTACATGCTTTGAGTGGGAAATCTAATCAACATAATAAATGTATTGAAAATCCAGGCACAAATCAAGGGAAAGCACTCGGAATGTGGTGGTCTCCGACTGATGATGTGTTAATGTTTTCCGAGAAGTTTTCCAAAGAAATTTTAAGTAAGAATAAATCTCCAATCAAACGCGAGATCCTTCGCGTAATAGTGACAATTTTTGACTCACTAGGCCTTTTGTTAATGCAAGAGATCTGGCGGTCAAGCGTTTCATGGGACGAGACCATTATGGCAGAACAAGAAGAAAAATTGTAGATCTGGCTACGCCACTTACGGTCAATATCGAACGTACGTGTCCCTCGCTGCTATACCCTTGCTAACTCCGCTAAAAAAATCGATTTAAACGTTTTTGTTGATGCTAGTGGACGCCTGGGCAGCAGCGGCGAAATTTCACGCCTGCTTGTGGGAAAAAACGATCCTCGGAATAGTAATATCCACAAATGTTCTCCCTATTTGAATGAATATGGTATTTTGACAGTGAGAGGCAGAATCGACGCAATCAAGGGGTGAGTATTTCAGTAACGCGGCCTACGATATTGCCATCACACACAGTCATCACAACGTTGAAATCGTAGTGAACGAGATGCGCCATAGGTATTGGATACAGGGCCTGCGAGTAAGTAAGTAAGAGATACAGCGATAAATTGCGACCTGTGCCTAAAAAACCGCGCAACACCGCATCCACCAGAAATGGGAGTTTTACCAGCCGAGAGACTTGACGTCTTTACTCGTCCCTTCACGAACACAGGTATCGACTATTTCGGCCCAATTGAAGTAGTAAGTGGGCGGCGACGGGAGAAACGCTGGGGGGTCCTCTACACTTGCCTTACTGTACGCGCAGTGCATATCGAGCTGGCGACATCCCTTTCAACTGATTGCCTTTTGTTTGTACTAAAACAGTTGGTTTCCCGTTGTGGTGTGCCGGCATGCATATGGTCAGATAATACCACTAATTTTCGCGGAGCCAGTCGAATGATAATTATTACTACTAAATTTTTATTTTTACATCAAAAATAGGCTGAGTTCCAAAACCTCAGTTGCAAAGCAACTATACAAAGTCACGCATTCCTAAATGCAAATGTGTAATTTTTGACGATGTGGCATGTCCCAAAATGTATTGTAAAAGTTATTGATGCGTATACAGAAAACAATGAACTGATTGGGCCTTATCAGTGTGGCTTTAGACCTGGCAAATCCACCATAGACCAGGTATTCACAATACGCCAAATCTTGGAAAAGACCCGCGAGAAAAGGATCGACACCTACCACCTATTTGTCAACTTTAAAGCCTCTTTTGCAAGCACTAAAAGGAGTTGCCTATACGCCGCTATGTCTGAATTTGGCATCCCCTCAAAACTCTTACGACTGTGTAAAATGACGTTGAGCAATACCACCAGCGCCGTCAGAATTGGAAAAGACCTCTCCGAGCCGTTCGCCACAAAACGGGGTTTCAGACAGGGTGACTCCCTTTCATGTGACTTCTTTAATCTGCTGTTGGAGAAAATAATAAGAGCTGCAGAACTGAACCGCTCAGGAACAATTTTCTACAAGAGCGTGCAATTACTGGCTTATGCCGGTGACATCGACATCATCGGTAACAAAAACCGCGAAGTCTGTTTTGCCTTTTCCAAGTTGGATAAGGAAGCAAAGCGAATGGGTCTGGTGGTAAGTAAGAAGTATCTCCTGTCAGCAAACAAACAGTCCGCGCCTTGGCACCCACGTCACTGTTGGCAGTTATAATTTCGAGAAAGTAGAGAATTTCGTTTACTTGGGAACCAGCATTAACACCGATAATAATTTCAGCATGGAAATCCAACGCAGAGTCACTCTTGCCAACAAGTGCTACTTTTGACAGAGTAGGCAATACAGGAGTAAAGTCCTCACTCGACGTACGAAAACCACACTCTATAAGTCACTCATCATGCCCGTGCTGGTATATGGCGCAGAAGCATGGACAGTGATTATTCGAGAGAAAGATTTTGCGGAAGATTTACGGGTCTTTACGCGTTGGTGACCAATTTTTATTACATCGGGAAATTGAGTGGAGTTATTTCTCTTTATCAAGAAAATATGCCAATTCAGTTTTTATAACGATTTGATTTTATATTATTTAAAGTTTTAAATTATAATTTGGTTCTTAATTTCGTTTTTAATTAATGCTAAATCAAAAGATTTGCACTCAGCTGCTGCGCAACTGTGAGGCAGACTAAAAGCTTATAAACTAAATATAAACTAAATCACACAATTCTCCAAAGGCCGCTTCACCCCATCCATTTTTAATCAAAGTTACTTCCCAAAAACGTTCTATATTGGTACAGTTTTTGAAGTTACCTTCACTCAGCCTCAATTTTTTAAACTGAAATTCTATTACGTCTGCATCATTTACCAATGCAGGAAATTGCTCGAGTAGCGGCAAAATTGATACGTCAGTCGGTGATGCCAGACATTCTCTGTTAAATATCCCACGGAAATGGGGAAAAAATCCCTCAATTACCCACATCTTGAAAATTTATCCCACAAAATTCCCAACGATTTTAAACGTATACATGTTTCAGTAGTAAAGAAGTAAAATTCATATAAAGTAATAATAATAGTTTGGCGCTTACACATATGTGCTTTTCCTCCAATTTGTGGCGGTCCCCTTGATGTTGTCACACAATGGGGAGGGACCTACAGTTTTACGCCGACTCCGAATGGCGAGTGTATTTTTATGAGAAACTGTTTTTCATGGCAGAAATACACTCGGAGGTTTGCCATTGCCTGCCGAGCGACGACCGCTGTTAAGAAAAAACCCCTTTTTCTACATTTTTTTCACTCATTCATTTTTTCACTTTCATTTTTTTGCTCTCACTAAGGGTCTAAAAGAATTTTTTGGTGACTTTAAAATTGAAGCACATTCATGTTCTATTTAACATTTCATCAGATAATTTGTTCCGCTTTTTACATGAAACACCAGTTACAACTGAAAAGATTCTTTCTTACTCAGCGCTCGAATTGGTTAACGTAAGAAAATTTTCGAAATTGTCCTTATACTTTTTAACAATTATATACCATTTCACTCCACATCACATCTTCAGAACGATTAATTACGTAAGAATGTCGAATATTCTTGAATTTTGATCAATTATGCAACAATAACTGCGTCAAAAGAAAATCCCTTATTTATATGAAGTGTCCCTTTTAATAATTTTTGATGCAAAATATCCCTCAATTAGGGAAATTACCCACAATCTGGCATCACTGACGTCAGTATCAGAAAGACCTTTATGTGGTGTAATAATTTCAAGATCTTTAATATCTTTTCGATTGAAATCGAATATTATTTTCATGTGCTAAATGCTATGATTAAAGTTTTGCTACCTTTCCATATTTTTGCCAGCCACGTTAATATTGGTCACCGAGTAATTGAAATTAGCAAGAAACCGCGATATTTTTTGAAGTGTCCTTTGACAGATGATTAGCCATGCCATATTTGAAGATCAGCAAGACGAGCCCACACTTTTAGCAGGTGTTGCCAATCGGCCCTATGCTGAATATCGTCATCGTCATCGTCGACGATCGCCAGCGCATCAGTAACACGGCTGATGAAGGCCGTACGTCACTTTTACTGAAGATGGCGATATTCAACATAGGGCGGAATATGCGACAGTGCTACCGCTTAGACTTTGTTGCTTTTTTCAATTTTTCCCTAATAAACAAAAATCGTGGTACAAACCACTCCCGTGGTAGTTTAACACCCAAAACCCCCACCCCCAAGTCCCCCGCTGGTTCCGCCACTGCCCCCTGCTAAATCCACCACCGAGGTTTTTTAAGTTCAAAGGTATTTTACTTACGTATGAGCATTACTGCTTGATATTTATTAGAGGAGTTTGAATTAATGTCGAAATACTTTGTCTTTATTTTATCTATAAACTTTGTAAAAGCTTCTTACAATTGCTTTTGCCATATTTTGTATTCGTATTGGACACCATTTTCTTCTTGCACTCCCCTTGGTGTTTCCGGATCTGGCCCAATCTCTTTGAATGCAGTTGGTATTTCAGGGAAATATACGTCACATTTAAATTGTTGGTAAATTTTTGTAATATAAAGGCGGTGACAACGCGGGGAAAACATAGCTTCCTTATATACACCACTTCCGCCCACAATCCAAACTGTTTCAATTTTATAGCAAAAATCCGTTTGCTCCAAGCGCCACATTGCAGTCTCAAGATTTGGAAACAGGAGCACGTTTCCGGGAAGTTCGTTCGGACGCATAGATGTGCTTAAAACAACGTTAAGTCGCTCTATAAGGGGACGTTGGTGTTTGGGTATACTCAAATATGTAATTCGACCCATAATAACAACATTCTGCTTTGTGCTATCACCTCGGCGTTTTGTTGTTTGTGTAAAATATTCGTATTCTGACCTTGATAATAAAATAATACATATATGTAATTTGTACATTAGGGGCATGACTCTCGGTAATATTAAATTTATTGTATTTTAAGACTTCTGCCAAAATATTTCGGAAAAATATTAAGATTTAAGCGAGCCTGACCTATTTGAAAATACCTCCAAAAATCTAATTTTTTTATAAATAAAATTTGTTTTTATACACATTTCTTCTAAAAAATCACTTCAGATCCTAGAAGAAATGCTTAAAAATTTTGTCAACGGTATCAAAATAATACGATTTTGGAGGTATTCCCGAATAGGTTCAGCTCACGTAAATCTTCATATTTTTCCGAAATAATTTGTCGGAAGTCTGAAAATACATACATACAATAAATTTTATAATTTCGGTAGGAAAACAACAACTCTTTTGTGATGCACCCTAATGTACATGCATATGTATATAGATTAAAACTGTTGCAGTTACTTTCAAAAAACCAAAACACGAAATTAAAAGTCATACACACTTTAAACTCCATGGCAAGTCGCCATTAAAGCCGATTCCGAAATTCTCACAAACAGCGGCGATCAAATTGAATTTCAACATTTTGAATTATAGCAAGTATCTATGTAGTAATTATAATGGAATGTTAATAATTATTAATGCTGTAGCTTCCAAAAACACTGCACACAAAGTAATATT